ATATATATATATATATATATATATATATGTTTTCTTAAGTTTTCGCGGGTACTTACATGTATGGTGTTCGGCTTGGTTCGGGTATTTTCCCACGTCATTGTAGTTCTTTTAAACTTTTAAATATATATAATTTTGTATCCACTTGTGCAAAAAAGAACAGATATAAAGATGCCAGGCTCTGCTGCTTCTTCAGCCCGTGCTTCCATAACATTTTTTCTTATTTTTGCACACAAAAGTAAAACAGTGTATACTTGTTTTTTTCTTCTTAGCTCAGTTCTTGTCATGCGGTACTATCAACTCAATTAGCAGATGCCATGATGTTTCCTATCACACAATTCAAAGAAAGAAATCTAAAAGGTACAATAATTGTCACAAAAATCAGATTGCTAGACAATGTTTTGTATAATAATAGCTAATATATATTTCATCTATAGTAGCCTCCTGAAGTCTAAGAACGTTTGTCTCATTGAAAATAGTTTTAGGCAAAAGGGAATGATAAAAGTTGGAATGCATAAGTGATTGCCCTGCAGAAGTTGTTGAACTACAACTTCTAGCAGTCTCAAGGCAGCATGGCCGATAATGGGAGATGCAGGGAGAAATAGTGACCAAATGTAGAGTTGATTACATTGCCAATTCCTATGTCACTGCAGTCTGTCTGTCTGTCTAGCTCTATCTATCTATCTATCTATCTATCTATCTATCTATCTATCTATCTATCTCGTTCAAGACTGCTGCTCAGTTTGGGGGGGACTCTCCTGAACTCCCAGTTTCTGCTCGTCCGCTGTGCCCAGGTGGAACTTTACACAGGTTATTTTGTGTGCCATTTGTATCCTTTCTCAATGAGGAGGACCTTCAGATTGCTATTTATATCCTGGTTATCTCAGGATTGGATTATTGCAGTGTGCTCTGTATGAAGTTGCCCTTATAGACTATTCAGAAGCTACAATGGGTACAAAGGCAGTGGCCCAAACAGTAATAGATACTTCATGTTGCACCCATATACACAAACTACAGTCGTTGCTTGTGGCTTTCTGGGAGCAATTCAAGGTGCTGATTGCCACCTATAAAGCTCTTTATGGCATGGGCCCTGGTTATTTGAGAGACCTCTTGTTTCCATTTTTTATTTATTTTGCTTGTTAAATTTATTTGCTGCCTATTTTGCAAATAATAATATTGACTTACAACAATAAATATAAGAACAATAAAAATGAAGAAATGAAAAGAGTAAACAGAACAGAAGTAAAATAATAGAACAATAGAATAAATGAAAAAGAACACAATAAATATACATACAATAATAAAAAAGTTGAATGGGTGGAGAGCAGAGAACAAGGGAAGGGGGATCTATTTCTGCCTGTACAGTATGTTTGACAGAATGCAGTGCTCCTGTCCCTTGAGTTCAGTGGAGTTGAATACTTATGCATTAGTAATCTCTGCGTATTAATCCTTCTGAAATATGAAACTGTAACCTTGTGTATGTTTTACTGAAGTAATAGGCTTAAATTTAAGTAGAATTGTACGGCTATTGTGTTTTCACTTATATGGGCTGCATTTACTTGTTGTAAACTCTTCCTATTTCTCTGCCCAAACCCTCTGAATCCCCCAAAAAACTCATATAGTTAGGTGAGTTCTGCCACAGCAAGTTTACAATCTCAAATGACATGGCATTTAAAAGAGAGCCCCTGACTTTGGGGGAAGGCTTTTCAGAGAAATGTAGGAGAAAACAGAGGAAGAAACAGCTCTACCATTGGATACAATCCCATAACTTTAGGGAATTATTTTCTCATTACAAAACAATTCATATAGACCTTGAAATGTAGGCCACCTGAAGACGTATAATAAATGAATCAAATTTTGTTCATCTTACATTAAAACAGCAGAATTATAGTAACGCTGTACATTTTCCTACATTCATTTCAGAAATTCTGACTTTAAAAGAGGTTTTCCAGATCTCCAGCAATGGTAAAGTATGTTTTAGAATTTAATTTCATGGTTTATTTTTATTTGATTTTGCATGATTATAATATTATAAACAGTAAAGATTAACATTTTATGAAGGGATTTCAGAGTAATTTTGCTCTTTAAAAAAAAGCAATTTTTCAATCTAAAAATGAAAGGGAAACTAATCCTAGATAACTGTATACAAGGTAATTGGGGGGAAATTATGATGAGTAAGCTCTTGTTCTAATGGGACATTATATAAAAAAGGATATCTTATTGATATAATCAGTGCATCAGGATAATAGATTTTGTTTATCTTGAAATGATAAAAACATTTCTGAAATTATTGGAAACAGATTTTTTTTCTGTATTATATTGTTGAAAAAAGCAAAATTAACCTAATTGCCTGAATTAGTACTTCACTGAAGTCTAGTTGCTTTTTGCCTTAAACACTTGTAATGTTTGTAGCTACTTTTTAAATATTGTAAAACTTGTTTTTTTCAGATCATGATGCTGCGATTACCAGATATAGTCGACTGTCAAAAAAAAGAGAAAATGAGAAGGTTTGTGAAACTTTAATCCAGCTATAATAATGTAAAAAGTCTATGTTGTTTTTCAGTTATCTAAAAAATTATGTGATAATTACATGATAATTCTAGTGAATGCAATATATGAAATATACTACATATATTCATGAAATATATGTAGTTCAGCTATGTGTTCCTGTCCAGCGTTATCAGTTTCTTTATTCAGTGGGATATTCTTCTATACAACTTTCACATTAATTTTTTTAAACTATTACCATCTGGCAGATGGTACAGGATAATAAAAACAAGGACAAATAGGCTGAAAAACAGCTTTTATCCCAGGGCAGTAACTATATTGAATTCTACTGTATAGTGCAATGTTAATGCAGTATTGGGTTTTCAATTCAGTTGTATAGAATGTGAAGGATGTGTGTTTGTGTTTTAGTTTTATAGTTATAATGTACACTGAAGATGGCATTTAATTTCATTGTATGAGGTGCAATGACAATAAAGTAAACTAAACTAAACTAAAACTGGCAAAATGGAGATCTCAGCAGTAGCAGTGCTGCATTTTTCTCTCTCTCTCTCTCCCTCTCTCCCTCTCTCTTTCTCTCTCTCTCTCCCTTCCCTCCTCATCCCTTCCCATCCCATCCTTTTTTTGGTAATTTAATATTTAATACCTTTTGCCAAGCAGTTCACATAATGCCCTGGAAAAAAACAAAACCTATTTCTCATGTGACATCATAACGTGGACTATTTTAAAAAGAACTTTACATGAAGATATATTTACAATTGCAAATCTGTAGAGAATGAGTAGAAGAAAAATGTATTTTGGAAAAAGTATATATAAATTTAGATTTTTTTCACATCATTGCAAGAAATTTTAATGGTAAACTGCTTTGAATTATATTTTTAAAGGTCAAATATGAAGCTACAGAAGATGTATATACTTCTAGGAAAAAACAACATCAGACTATGATGCATTACTTCTGTGCATTAAATACACTGCAGTATAAGAAGAAAATTGCTATGTTGGAACCCTTATTAGGCTATATGCAGGCTCAGGTAAATTCCAAAATGCATGGTGGAGGGGAGATTTTGAAATACTACATTAAAGTATTTTGAGCATCCAAAGTATTAAAATACTACCAAGCCAAAACATTAACCTTGTGTGGCATGGGCAGCTATATCAATTCAATCAAATCAAGTAGAAAGACTAAATGGTTAACCTCTCTGTGGAAAAGTAAGCATGTAAGTGTAATTTGTTGATAGAAAAACCTAACTAATTATAAGTATCTTGTGATTTATGATCTTGCATCTGTAAAGGTGAATTATGTTTTTAGTCACCAAAGAAAGTTCTAAAATTCTATAAGTTACAAGTAAATTAATAAGTATGCATTTTCTTTTAAAAGATAAACTTCTTTAAGATGGGCTCAGAAAACCTTTCTGAACAGCTGGAAGAATTTTTAACAAATATCGGGACAAGTGTTCAGGAGTAAGTTCATTTTTTCTCTGAAAAGTAATGCTGTTTCTTTTAAAACATTTTTAGCTATTGTGAATAATTTTTTTTAAAAAAAACCTATGATTTTAGTGTTCGCAGGGAAATGGATCATGACGTGGAGACGATGCAACAGACTATAGAAGATTTGGAAATAGCCAGTGATCCACTTTATTTACCAGATCCTGATACTACAAAATTTTTGGTCCAAAGAAACCTTACTCGCAAGGCTGGTTATCTAAATGCAAGAAAGTAAGAACCAATTTCAAATACATATAAGCCTGAATAGCCTGGGTTATAAATTACAGGGGTCTTGCATAGCGTGTTACATGTAAAAATAATTACCAAAATTAATAGTTTTAAAGATTTTAAATAATGTCCAATACCAACCAGCATGCAGTACAGATTTGTATTAAATTCAAGATCTTGTTTATGATGTTTCATGGCACAATATATAATTTAACTTGTCTCAGGGTAATTTGGCTAGAAACCTCAGAAGCGATATATACATCTGGGAGAACAGCTGCTCCTTCATTTGTTATTTTTGTTGCAGCAGCTCCTCTTTATAAAAGGGTGCAGCTTTAAAAGTAGATTGCATCTGTCTCTGGATTGCAATGACTTATTTGTTTGTTCTTGCCCTAGTGAGCTTAAAGTCACAGGAGATACGAAATAAAGGAGCACTAAAAAATAAAATTTGTTTGCCCGTAATATTACATTCAGATCTGCCCCAGTCAGATCCCTTGACTCCATTTGATTAAAGAGAAAGGTACTTTCACTAAGAGATGCTGGTTACAGTAAACACAAAACTATTTCTTTCATTCCCCATCCCTCACCATGACCAGTCCAAGTTCAGCCAATGTGATGTCACTGAGATGTTTTGGGAACACTGAGGTGTTTAGGCTGGTAACTTTGCACACTCAGGATAAATGACCTTGAAGATGCCTGGCATGAACTGGTTCCATGTTCTTCCTCAGCTCTTCCTCAGCTGTCATAAAAAAAACCCTTCCTAATTCCCACAAAGATGCACACAGGTTTATGGCTCATTTGTCCCCATCCCTCTACCCCAGTCTTTTGATGACAGGATGCCAGCAAATGCCAAGCCAAAGCTGGTGGATCTGACAATTACTTTTTTGGGTCCTAGCCCAAAATATTTTTGCATTACAATATTTCATTTTTCTTGAAATTATTGATGAAGGAAATAGCAGACATAATATAATTTTTACCCATATTATTCTTCTATCAGTGTTTTTTTACCATCTGGCAAGTATATTTATAGTATCTTTGAACATCTGAGAAGAGTTATATGAAAGTTACATCTTTGCTGTATGACTGCAGACACTGTTTCCTGTGTTTTGACTACAGGTGTGCTATGGAGTAAGAATATAAAGTGGTGACACCTTAAAGCTATTTTTAAAGCTCAAAATGAGTCTGTGTGTGTGCGCGCGCGCGCATGTGTGTGTGTGCATGTGAGAGCAGTAGTATTTTGCTGATAAAACAATATGTTGAGAAATTTAGTTAAGCGCTATTTATATTCTCTTGCTATACCAAAATAATCTATGCATAACTGCATTCAATTATATGAAATTATCTCCCAGTCCAAAACTTATAATAACTTATTTTTTCATTAGAGATTTGATGCTGCTAGGTTGGACTAAGTCAGTTTTCTTTTTTTCTTACTTCAGTAAAACAGGACTGGTGTCTTCCAGTTGGGACAGACAGTTTTACTTCACACAGGGTGGAAACCTAATGAGCCAAGGAAGAGGTGAAGTTGCTGGAGGACTTGTAATGGATATAGACAATTGTTCAGTAATGGCTGTGGATTGTGAAGACAGAAGATACTGCTTTCAAATAACATCTTTTGATGGCAAAAAGTTTGTATTACCATTTCTTACATATGTTTTTAGTAAGGGAGAAACAGTTAGGAAGTATTTCCTGCCGCCTTTCAGTTTCTCTCTAAAGTTGGGAGACAAGGGGGAATAAATCCTTATCTTTCCCAGATTGAAAACTTGGCAGGCATAAGAGAAGTTTCTATTACTTTAAACCAACTTATTTAATCAGAACTTGATGCTGCTTTCTAGGTGGCAATCTAAATATATTTTGCTTGTTTTTATCATTTTATTTATTTGTCAAACGTGTATGCTGCCCATCTCACTGAAGGCGATTCTGTATTTAGATTTTCATGTGTAATCTTGTCTACTGTCTACTTGTTTTCTTTCTAAAATGTTATGGGTATTTTCAATCCTTGTTTTCAGGTCAGAGGGAAAAGTTGTCTGCCAGCTTTTTCTTTCTGATTGCCTAGTTTCCTCTCAGCCTAAAATGCAATAGGGATACCTTCCTCTCGTTCTGTGCAGTCTTACTGGTTGTTACTGAGAGATGTTAGCAAAAGACAAGCTTGGACAACATAAATTATCTCTGAGGTATATCAGTGGCTAATTGTCTGTAGAACATAGCTCAAATGAAATATGCTGAGTTCCACAATGCAAAGATAAATATTATAGGTGGGCAATGTCCATCGGTGGATTTGGTTTGGAATTTAGCATGGTATAAATACTATAGTGAATAAAGAATTGCATATATCAATAACTTGAAGCCAACAACTTGATGAACATTCCTTTTCCCGGCTTTGCTTGAAAAATATAATTCAGTTTGTTTCTTATTTTTATTTCCTGGTCCAACAGGTCTTCAATTTTGCAAGCTGAGAGCAGAAAAGATTACGAAGAAGTAAGCTTTTTAACAGAATGGTTATTGAAACTAATAAATGTTTTGTGAGGGTTTAAGGAGTAAAATTGCCCAAGCCTGACAAATATATCTAATCAATGAAAGCCTTTTTCTTACAATAAATAGATCACTTTTTAAAATTTTTCTTGCTAAGTGAGACATTTGTTAAGTGAATCTCTGCAGTTGTCAAGTTAGTAACAAAGGTGTTAAGTGAATCTGGCTCCCTTATTGACTTTGCTTGTCAGAAAGTTGCAAAAGGATCACATGACTCCAGGACATGGCAACCATCATAAATATGAACCATTTGCCCAGCATCCAAATTTTGATCACATGACCATAGATCTGCTACAATCGTCATAAGTATGAAAAATGTTCATAAATTACTTTCAGTGACACTGTAACTTTGAACGGTCACTAATTAACTGTTATAAGTTGAAGACCACCTGTAAATGGTTTCCAAATTAAATTTGTAATGCTAGTTATTAGGGCAGTTTTAAAGAGCAGAATAATTATATGCTAATGATATGGAAAAGGTGAAGACTGCCAAAGCATTGTATGGTTTGTAGCCTAAAGGCTTTCATTCACAAGAACAGTGGAATTTTTTTCCTCATTTTTTAAAAAAGAATTTAGATTAGCGGTCACTAACCATTGGGCCGTGTCCCACTGGTAGGCTGTGAGAAAATTTTGGTGGTCTGCAGAGAAATCTCACCCCCAGAGCACACCCCCCCAAAGCAATTAATCCAGGCTGCACAGAAACACAAGGCTGCACAGCCCACAGGAACCCTCCCCGCCCACTCCTTACCTGGCAAACTTGCCTGCAAAATTGCTATTTTTCCTTTTTCTGACCATCATCTGTTCTGCTGTGCTGGGAGATTTAGATTGGCTAGGAAGCAGGAAATGATTGGATTTCTTGCTTTCTAGCTAGTCTTTAGATCTTCGGCTCTGCTGTTAAGCACAGCCGAACCTCCCTTAGCACTGAAGGTTCTATTATTCAGTGCAGACTCACAGCAAGCAAATTGTGAGCTAGCCTATGGCAGATAGATAGATCACTGAATGATTCTGTGAGCAACTCAATCTGCCTGCCTGCTTTGCCTGGTTTTGGGTAAAAGTTGCTCTTTTTGTTTATAAAAAAATCAATATATAAATATTTATAATATTTACATACAAGCCGTGCCCAGCAGTCACATGACCACCAAGCCACACCCACAACTTAGGCTATGCCCACAGAACCGGTTAGTAGGATTTAAAATGAGTTTGGTGGTCCCTGAGGTCCAAAAGGTTGGCGACCCCTGATTAAGCAATTAATGATTTATCATATAGTTTGTGAAATGTAGATTTAGGTACATTTCAATTCAGGAATCAACTTTATCATGAAATTGAGCATTCTCAACAGTGGAAAATTGTGCCAGCTTTCAAACCAAAAGAAAGGCAGAGTAGAAAGTTCTCACTTGTAACAAGGCAGTTTAAAATAGGTTTGAAACCAGCTGCTGTCAATGCTGAGTAATCAACGCAGGGAAAAGAATTTCAAATGTGCCACATTGCTACTTTAGTATTAAAACAGCATCTTGTGTGGATTATTTCACATTTAGCAAGCCTGTGATTTCTCACTTCTATTAATGGAATCATTAAAAAAAATCAAGAGAAAAAATTCAGCTAGATACATGGAAACTTTATTTAAAGATGATTTTTTTAAAAAAATGCATGAACTTTTCTTTTGCTTCTGTGACAGTGTTGGAGAAAGTATCAGATCCAAAAGTTGTAGGATCACAATTTGCAACAGGCCCAGCAAACATGACTAATTTCATGAAACAAATGAATTTAACATCATCTGGAAAGTCACAAGTTTCCTCTGTCCTGCTCTGTAGTTTGAAAACTAATTGTAAATATCTTGTGTGTGGCTTATTGTTAACTTAGTCTGTGCATGCAAGGATTGTTAAGATGTCAACTACTTTTTTATTTGTTATTGGAGAGTTACAGGCTAAGGACAAGGCGAGATTTACTTATCAGAAAAAAATTCATAATCTGGCACCTATTTTTGATAATTTCCAAGGATAAAAGTTATTCTTCTGACCAGACTAAAGCATTTACCATGTTTTTAATCTCTTAACAATAATCTAGAAATAGAAAGTATATAATGGGCAGAAAATTACCTAACTGTATTTTAAATTTTTTTCCAGTGGATATGCACAATAAACAATATCTCTAAACAGATTTACCTCAGCGAAAACCCAGAGGTAATGTGATTATACTCCTTTAATATAAAAAAAATAAAATACTCTTAGATGTGAAACTTACATTTAAATTTGAGGAAACATTTGATTCCAGAGCACATTTGAATATTGAAATAAATATTGAGATTAAAATTAATTGTTTATGCAGATTGAGAGAAAAATTGGTTTTAATTCTGCATTTACATTTTAATGGAGCAAAGAGAATGTAGTGATTGAGAGAGAGAAAGAAGAAATAGACTGGGTTGGTGGAAAATGGGATTTTATTTTATTATAGCTTTTCAGTTCTGCATTTGTATCTCATGTAAAATATGCAGTTGTATATATGTTCTTTCTTTTGTTTCTTGTACATGTGCATATGACTTTATATCACTTTCCTTTTATTCCCAACTTTCTTTTCTTTGTCCCTTTTCCCATTACTTCCTCTTTCTTTCTTGGATGGAAATCACTGTTTACATGCTTACATTTTTGGTTGGGAAAGCTACCATTGGCATTAAAGCCTTGTTCCAATTTGGATGGAGAATGTTTTTTGGTAAGATGGCTTGCTTAGAGGAAGGTCAATTTCTACCTGCAATACTCCTTCTGCATGGCAGATGAATATAGAAAAAGTTACATTGCCCCAAGACCCCTAATAATTGATTTTTGGTTCAGACTGTATGCTTAGCAGTGTTTCTCATTAGAAATGATTAACTGCTGTGTTTTCATAAATTCACATTTCTAACAAAAAAAATCACTTCAGTATATCTGCTCAATTAGTTGCAGTGCTTACTAAAGATCTTCATATATTCATTTATTTTAGATCTAATTAAATGAAAAAAATATTTGTTTTTTTTCTAACAATATAGGAAATTGCTGCCCGTGTAAATCAGTCAGCTTTAGAGGCTGTCACTCCCTCACCTTCCTTCCAGCAGAGACATGAAAGCATGAGACCAATTATGTAAGTCACCAAACAGCAGAAAAGAACACGTTTTATATTTTGTAAAATAGTTTTTGAAATTTATTGTTTTATCACAAAACAGCAAAACAAAGAAACAAAATAAAACAAAACCGAAACATACATTCAACTCTAACAACCACAACTACAAAACAATCGTGTACAAAAAAAGGAGAACAAAGTGGTCAATTAAATTTAACATGTATGTATGTATGTATGAAAAAAGCAGTCAGCAGGTTACACTAATCTTCAAATCCCTCTGTTAACCATCTGTTATTATATTTAGGATGTAGACTCTTATAAAGCTGTCTGTTGTGGCCCACCAGTCTGGCAGCAGACTTGGACAATGAGGAGGTTGGGGAGAAACTTGGGCCAGTTCTGGAGTCTGGGGAAAGCTCTGATGAGTGCTCTGCCTCGGACACAGAGTTAGAGCCAGGGCCATCCGATATTTCCCAGCCACTGTAGAGGCAGCTGCCTTTGGAGGCTGATATGAGTGAGGAGAAAGAACAGCTGGGACCTGTTCCAGATAGACATATGTTCAGAGCTGTTAGGAGAGGGGAACAACGGAGGACAAGGAGTCAACTCGGAAAGCAAAGCACATGTGGACGCTGAATGGCCCCTCCCTGGCTGGGGAATAAATAGAAGGGAAGGGGAATGGTTGTCGTAGGAGACAACAGTTCATCTTTCTGAAGATTTTACTCATTGTATTTCATGCCACAGAGAGACTACTTGCCAGAACTTAATTTGCAGCCTTTCGGTTGGAGCCTTGCAATTATCGCAAGGAACTGATAAGGTCTGTTATGCAGTTAACTCTTTGAAAGACTATTGCCTGGACTTTTCGGTGGGTGAATGCAATTAATTCACAAGAAGTAAATAAAGATCATATTTTGAAAATTGCTTGGAAGATCAATTTGGACCTTATTAAGCATAATATTTCTTTGCCATTCATTAAAGCAGCAACCCCCCCCCCCAATCTATCAAGCTTAAATAGAAAGCATTGCTGCTTTAAAGAATCCACCCAGTAGAGTTAATGTGATTTAACACAACATCTCTCTTCAGGTTTGTGTGAAAGCCTAATAAAGTTGAGCTGTTGGACTTCTTTCAAATTATTTTCTAATTGTGCAGAGTGCTGCTATTATAATAAGTCCCAAAACTTGTATAGTTCCTATTAAAATGTACAATTGTTACTTTGTCTCCTGTTTTCTCCCATAGCATTTTAAATCTGAAATCTGTGATATGATATGATTCTTTGATTATTATATGTGTGGACAAAATAGTTTTACATCGTTTGATAATTAGTAGATACTATTGGAAAGAACAGTAATGACCTTACTTTTGACACAGCTCTTGTAACCTCTGACTTCAGCTATATTTCATTCAGTTTCTACTTGTAACTTATCTGGCTCAGTTTTCCCTACTATTTCGTTTTAATCCGAAAGGAATCACTGATCCTTAATTAGGCACTGATGTGCTTTTTCTAGTTATTGTCTCACTAAAGCTTTGGCATTTAAAATGAGAGTAATTGCTATCTTATTTGTCCTACAGAATTTTATTTTTCTCAAGCCACAACCAATTAGAAATTATAAAATAAAAATTATAAATTGACAATAAAAATGAAGTTTTATTTGCATTTATATTAATTTGAGAAATTTTATTGTTACTGCCTTTAAATATTCCTGCTAGATTTAGTTGATCATTTTGATGACCTCAAGTGTTCAGTTTGTTAGCATCTCCTTTTAGATTTATTTCATGATACGTTCTGTTTCATGTTTGCTCTCAACAGGCATTTGTCTTCAAATTATTTAGTCGAGACTATTCTATTGTTTGGATAAAAGTTTACCTTTCGTTATTTGTAAGAAAATGTTTGACTTCTGGATTAGATCAGTTGTTCTCTGCTGAAATGCAAAAGATAGTCAAGATGGTTGAAATGTTTCCTACTTTTCTTGCCTTTTTAGACAGTCTCGGCCTCCCACAAATCGTACGAGTAGCACTGGATCTTTAGGATCTGATTCGACGTCATTGTCCGCACTTTCCTTGGACTCGATTGTTGCACCTGATACACCTATACAATTTGATATCATTTCTCCAGTAAGTGAAGACCAGCCTGGTCAAATAAAAACTCCAGGCCAGTCAGGCAGGTGAGAATTACAAAAATTTAATACAAGCAAATAAAGCTCACTCAATATTTAAAACCTCTGTTGATATTTAAAACCTATGTAAAATAATATTCATCATGCTTTAACCTTGATTGTGGGTAGAGCCCTCACTTTCATTCAGGATCCTCTCCCTGCACAAATTTAATTTAATTCCCTTTACCAGTTTTAACAACGATTGTGCCTAAGCAGAGTTTGCTTTTAACTAGATATTTCAGCCAACGACTTCAGGTTTATTCAGATGTCTGTGTAAGAGTGAAAGCTGATTGGCATTATCTGATGTTAAAACGTTTCTGGATACAAGGAAATTGGGTGAAATCAGGTTGTCTGTGTTTTTTTAGATTAATCCCTCAAGGTACAAGGATTTTTAGACCTGCATGAGCTGATCATTAAAACAAAAAAATTGAAATCTTCCCCAGTTGGGAAAGTTTTTATGTTGCTTAAGATTCTGTTTTATTTCTTGTAGCAGACTTACTTTGCCCTGTTGAGCATTCTTCAGGTTTTTTTTGTTTTGTTTTTTAAAAAGTATATTTTCCTTTCCTATTGCTTGCTTACCTGCCCCAGCAACTTGGGTATTTCCTCTTGGAAACTCAAGAGAAATATGGCAACCCAGGTGGTGAAGGCATTCTGATGGCTTTCTTCCTAAGCTAAAAAAAAGGTGAGTGAAAATTATCTAGGCTTCTAGAGTAATATCTCTTAGGAAGATAAATTGTCCGTTGTGCACAGTTCTTTTTGTGCCCCTTCTCTATCTCACTGGAGCTTCCATTTTGCATCAGTATATTTTACAATTATCATTTAGCAATTGAGTATACAGTGTTTGTTCCTCAGTAAAATAGTCAGGGGGCCCTGAAAACTAGGGACCGGTACATACTTAATTGTAATATTAATGCAAGTCTTTAATATAGTGAAAAATGACTAGAAACTTTCGAAGCCAAAGCAAGAAATATCTCGGTCATAATTGTGTGCCTTACCGTCTTACAAGTATATTAAAACTAAAAATCAAAAAAGGAAAAACAAGAGGAATCATTTTTGCTAGTTATACATTTTTTGATAGCTTATAACTTTTTAGAACATGTGATTGCTGAATGGAACCAGTTGCTTGTAGATATGATTGGTTTTTCTTTACTATGACTGTTTCTTTCAGAACAGAAATTAATTAACCCCATTTACTCCTGATGAAAGTTTGATGTAAGGAAAAGTCTAATTCAAAACAAATGTCTGTAGAAATAAAATCAAATTGAAATTGGTGTTTGAGGAGAAATGTGCATGACAAAAGTCATCTTCAGGCATTTTAAGTGTACTCATTGAATATCTATGCTGACTGCTCCAAAGATGCCAAGCGGATTACATTAAGAATAAATCAAAAGCACAAAAGCGCAAAGTGTGATTCAGTCAGTAAGATTAATCCTGTTCACATTATTCCTTCTGTCCTGAAGTTTTGCTGGAAAAGTACAGTTTGTACTGCCTTCTGGAGTGTCAACAGGGAAGGGGCCATTTTAATTGTGGAGGGCAAGCTATTCCAGAATTAGGAGACATCTACTTAGAAGGCTTGTTTCCAAATCTTTTTTCTTTAGCTACTTCTGAGCAGGCAAAAATCCACTTGGATCTAATGGTCGTGAAAACCCAAGTCAGAAAGGGCTCTGTTGGCACTTGGTGTCTTCTGCTCCTGGCAATACCACAGTGTATTGGTGATGAGGTTTTGCCATTCATTCACTCTATTAAATCAAAGCTATCTAATCATTAAGCTCCCATGTCTCCTTGTCTTCCAAAGCCCAGCCATTTACTAAGTGGTCAGTTGTTTGAAACTCTCTTCCCAGCCTTCTATTCCATTTTTATTATCTATCTGTTTCATCTCAGGCATCATATTTTTTCTTCTGCGTTCTTTGAACTTCACTTCCCTAGCCATGCATCTCTCCATCTTTACTTTCTTCTTGTGTTGTATCCATAATCTCTTGCCAACCAGTGTTCACCTCTCTTTCTTCCATTAAGCATCCTATTCGCTTCCTCTCTATCCCAATTAATGTTCTCTCCAAACACCAGACTGCTATACCTTATCAATATGTGAATGCAGATTATGTGTCAAAGGCAACCAGAATGATTAAGTGAGGGCTTGATATTGCTGTACTCATGTAGACACTGTATGCATGTAAAATGCCTGAAGAAAACCAATCCAGAGTTTTCAGGATCTTCTGTGAATACTAGTATAAAGATGCAGCATCCATAATAAAGACTTGTGAGGAGATCTACTGAATGCCACTCTGAAAAAGATGCAGATTGCTTCAGTTTGAAGTCTATAAAAGTCTGAGCCTTGCTGTATTCACCAGATTTCTCATGAGCTGAACTAAATAGCAAGTATGCCAGGCTGCAATCGAAATTTGCCAGATGTAATAATTCTGATTACATGGATCCCAAAGAGTATTTGCAAATGGAACAGGCTGCCTTGTGAAAGAGGTGAACATTTTTTGCTGGAGACATTTTAACATTAGATGGGCACATTGTAAGGATATTGTTTTATCCTGCAATATAGCATAGGGAATTGTAAAGGCCCTTAGAGAGCTTCTAGTGCAATACCATGATTTTGTGAAAGATTTACATTGTAGAAATATCAAACTGAATTTTTTTTAAAAAAAAAATACTATTGTGACTTTTTGTCTTTTAAGGATCATCTTAAGTTCTCCATTTGAAAAATGTTTTGATAAAGCTTTTATTTACCTACATATTGGAAGCCTAGAAAATTTTCACAAGTATAATGTAAAGAGCAATAATGGCTCTGCACTGCTGAGAGCTTAGCATAGCCATATTTCTCTTGTTTATGATGAATATCCCGTCATTGCTTTGAGAAAACTATTTGAAATGGTAACTTTTCATACGTAAACAATTTAACATATTAACCTCAGGGTGCATGCAGTTTCTCTTAAAGCGATTTGGTTTTAACGGGTTTCTGTAAGTTTGTAGTATATGATTACATTTTCAAAAGCAGATAAAATTAAATAACTTTCCAAACAATATTACAGTACATGTTATTTTGTAATGGGCAGTTTTTACAGTTTCTTCAGTTGTCTCCTGTTATATATCTTTATATAAGATATTTCAAATTATTACGAAATTATGAAAATTTACTGGTGCATGTGAACTTCCTGGGCAACCATTCAGTCTTATTGCTGCTTTTAATGTAGCATGCAATTCTGTTAGACATTGATTTGATGCCCCCCTTTTTTTTGACAGACGTACAAATCCTTTTGGAGAATCTGGTGGAACCAAATCAGAAACAGAAGGTAGAGAGCAAAGCTTTAAAGAAACATAAAATATATTAAGTAGTATTGCATATTGTTGAGAACAGATTGATAATTTTAAATAATATTTTGATAATTTGGCTGGGAGTCTGAGCTGAATGAATGATTAAAGAAGATACACAGGAAAATGTTTCTGCATAATAAAACAAGGGCACTTGAATATGGAATATGTATAATAAATAAACCTTATCTGAGGTTGCTTACTTTAGATTAAAAGAGAATATTCTTCTCTGTATTCTATTTAAATTATCTCTAATGATAGTTCACAAATTTCTTTCTATATTGATTTGCATTAATGAATTGTTGCTATATCTTGAGAAAATTCATTCAGTTTTAAATATTGCATTAGATAGATTTTATAGTATTAAATAGATATCTGTTTGATTCCCATTTTCTCCAGAGTCAGGGCTGTATTTGAAGTAACACTAAAGCTGTAATTCCCCTTAGTCAAGTTTTTGGTGACCAATTGTTCATGATTAATTTTCCCATGTTCTTCTTTTGTTGTACTTGTGTTTTGGTCTGTGACCGCAAATAAAGTATTATTATATTATGTAACTTACATTATAGAGTAAGCTTAAGAAGAAATGTAAGAAAAGGTTTCAAGTCTTAGTTGTTATGCTTGTTTAACATAAAAATCCCTTAAATTATATTATAAAACCTTTATCAAGCCACCATCTCATAACAATGCTTCAACAACAGTTAACTTTAATGTTGATTTAACAAAATAATTCTTCTCAATCAAAATTGAGGGTAACTGAATGTTGTGACAGAGCTAGCTGATCTTATGTCCAAAAAGTGCTTTTTTCAAGAGCACCTTTGGGACGACCAAAAATGTACCTTTGGGACAACCATGACCTGGATGACTGAGAATCTCTGTAGACATTTAGGGAGCTTATTGCATTGTAAAAGAAACAAATTATTAAAGACTTTAGGAAGCATGCCTTCTCTGTCGTGGCCCCCACTCTCTGGAACAGCATTGCTCCATAGATATGGATGTTGCCTTTTTTTTCTGTAGTTTATAAAGTCCTTAAAACCTGGCTTTAGTCCCAGGCCTGAGGTTAATGTGTTTGGGGGATTGTGACTGTGGTGTTTTAATGGTTGTTATTAGTCCATTCTTCCTTGTTTTCTTTTGTCTTAAGTTTTAATTGTTTAAATTAGTATTATATTTTGTAAGCTTTCCAGGGTCAGCTAGAGCAGATAGTTATAATAAATTAAATGAATCTTATTTTACTGGATATTTATATACAAGATACATACATAACTAACATTTTGTAACTTTACTTCAAAAGTTACTCAAACTATATATTTATTATGCTCTTGCTCCAGATTCTATTCTTCATCAGTTATTTATTATAAGATTCCTTGGATCTATGGAAGTGAAGTCAGATGAAAGTCCTGATGTTGTTTATGAAACAATGCGTCAAATACTAGCAGCTCGAGCTATACATAACATTTTCAGAATGACAGAATCACATTTGTTAGTTACATGTGATTGTTTAAAGTAAGTGTATTCTTTTTCTAAAGCAACATTGTCAAACACACTTAATACATTTTGGTCTTTTTAAAATATCCATACATTTCTGAAATTATCCCTTTTAGGTTAATTGATCCACAAACACAAGTTACAAGACTCAGGGTAAGTTGTTAAAATCAAAGTACTTAACCATCAGAAACCCAGTTACTGTTCAGTTTCATCCAAGTTTATTTTCTATCTATTGTTCTTGACAGAAAACTATAGGTTATCCAGTTCCCCAAACAGTGTTTCAATTATTCTGAAACTATACATTATAAAAGTAGGGGGTCTAGCCCTAAGTTTGTACTTATAAATTAGCAAAATAGGTAAGGAATTCCTGCTAATAGTTGTAAAAGCCTAACTTAATTTGAAAACTTTTGAGAATGCACTAGTATAAGAGCTCATGGGACATGGTGACTAGAAAGTCTTTGCTGAAAAGACAGTAGGGTGAGCCAGAATGACCTTCTGAAATATAAATATGAATTATTTTGGCTTTTACTTTAATAACCCAAAAGTATCTTTCTGTAATTTCATTTACTGCTGCTATTCAACAACAATTCTTTTCCTCTCTGGACAGTTTCCTTTGCCAAATATAGTTCTGTATGCCACACACCAGGAGAACAAGCGTCTTTTTGGATTTGTGCTTCATACGTCAACAGCAAGAGCAGATGGTAGACCAACTTCAGTTTGCTACATATTTGAATCAAATAATGAAGGGGAAAAGGTACATGCTTCATGCTTCAGTTAACATTCTTGTATTTTACACTATTCCAAAGCTGAAAAAAACAGGGATATGAAAATCCTTTGAGGAGAACATCCCCCCCCCCCCCCCCCAGCAGATAGTTTTGTATAAACATGCAGGTGGAGGCATCAGGAAGCAGCTTGCAGAGAACTTCTGGAGTTCTTGGTACTCTCTACTTATTTGCTTGCAGATATTTCATTACCCAACTAGATAACATCAATGCCAGCTACCTAGTTGGGTGATAAAATGTCTTCTCACAACCAAGGAGCACCAAGACCTCCCCAGTTATTTTGACCAATTTGTTCATTCTTTGTAATTATGTTCAGTTAGAATACTTTATTGGCCAAGTGTGATTGGACACACAAGGAATTTGTCTTGGTGTAAATACTCTCAGTATACATAAAGAAAAGGTACATTCGTTAAGAATCAAGAATCATAACGTACAACACTTAATGATAGTCATAGGATACAATCAACAATCAAATCATACTAGGAAACAGTCAAGTGGGAGGGGATGGGTGATAAGGAGTGGTGAGAAGATTAACAGTAATAGTAGTGTACACTTTGTAAATAGTTGAACAGTGTTGAGGGAATTATTTGTTTAGCAGAGTGATGGCTTTCCGGAAAAAAATGTTCTTGTATCTAGTTGTTCTGGTGTGCAGTGCTCTATAGCGTCATTTTGAGGGAAGGAGTTGAAACAGTTTATGTCTGGGATGTGAGGGGTCTGTAAATATTTTCACAGCCCTCTTTTTGACTCGTGTAGTATACAGGTCCTCGATTGAAGGCAGGTGGGTAGTAATTGTTTTTTCTGCAGTCCTAATTATCCTCTGAAGTTCTGGGTTGCAGAACCAAACCAGACAGTTATAGAGGTGCAGATGATAGACTCAAGAATTCCTCTGTAGAACTGTATCAGCAGCTCCTTGGGCAGTTTGAGCTTCCTGAGTTGGCGCAGAAAGAACATTCTTTGTTGTGCTTTTTTGATGACGTTTTTGATGATAGGTGTCCATTTTAGATCATGTGATATAGTAGAACCTAGAAATTTGAAGGTCTCTACTGTTGATACTGTGTTGTCTAGTATTGTAAGAGATGGTAGTATGGGAGGGTTTCTTCTAAAGTCTACCACCATTTCTACAGTTTTGAGTGTGTTCAGTTCCAGATTGTTCTGGTTACACCACGAGGCAAGTTGTATAACCTCCTGTCTGTATGCAGATTCGTCGTTGTCTCAAATGAGACCAATCACTGTTGTGTCATCAGCAAACTTCAGTATTTTAACAGATAGATCGTTTGAGATGCAGTCATTGGTATATAGGGAGAAGAGAAGTGGAGATAGCACACAGCCTTGGGGGGCCCTGTGCTGATTGTACAGGTATCAGAGGTGATTCCGCCTAGCTTCACCTGCTGCTTCCTGTCTGTTAGGAAGCTTATGATCCACTTACAAGTGTGTTCAGGTACTGCTGGTTGGTTTAATTTACTTAGAAGAGTGTCTGGAATGATGGTATTGAATGCTGAACTGAAGTCTACAAAGAGGACCCTTGCGTAGGTATTTGGAGATTCAAGGTGTTGTAGGATGCAATGCAGAGCCATGTTAACAGCATCATCTGTCGATCTATTTGCTCGGTATGCAAACTGCGTGGGATCTAACAGTGGATCTGTGATGATTTTCAGGTGGGACAGCACTAGCCTTTCAAAGATCTTCATAACTACAGATGTTAGAGCAACTGGTCTGTAGTCATTCAGTTCCTTGATGGAGGGCTTCTTTGGCACTAGGATGATGGTAGAACGTTTGAAGCAGGAAGGAACATAGCACATCTCAAGAAGGAGTTACCTTGTCTGGCCCTGGTGCTTTTCCTGGCTTCTGTCTGTGTAATAGATCTTGCACTTCTTTTTCTTTTCTTTTTCTTTTTGAAAATTTTATTTGGGTTTTCACACACACACAAAAAACACCATAATACAAATAAAACATCTTTTTTTGAAAATAGCATGGTCCCGGGTTATCACTTCTTCATATAGACACAAACTCAATTTCATGCTCATTTTTGTGTTCTATTCTATATCTTATTACTGTTTTACATTTTCTACATAGTTTTTCCCCTCTTAATTTTCTCAACTTTATTTTGATTATCTCATCTCAGTTCAAATCATTATATTTATACTTTTGTCTGTCCTGTTTCAGTTTCATATTATCTTTTCTCATTAAACAAATTTTCCCCTGTAGTTACTAATTGGAGTATGACACCTTTATATCTTTTAATTTTATCCATTCAACTCTTATTTAAGCTTCAATGTATACCTTTAAGATTATAACATTCAATATAATACATAACTTCCAATTCTGCTTGGTACATTCTTAAAATACACACTATATTCTTAAAAAAAGATTTTATGTATGTATGTATGTATGTATGTATGTATGTATGTAAATAAAGCACTCATTCCATTCCAATTCAATTCTATCAGTAATATTCATTAAAATCTTAACATCTTTAACATTCCTTTCAATTAAATATCATACTTCCTTGGGAACACTTATAAACTTTCCATAATTATTTTTTCCCCATATTTCTCTTCATTTATATTTTATAAATCATTAATAATTAAAATGTTCCCGTCCTTTCCTAATTTCCTTCTGTCATTCACTTTATTTCATTTATTTATTAATAAACATTCCACTAGATTACGATAAATATTTTATCCAATGATATTTTCTAAAATTATTTCTATTTGTAATATAACAATACTATCTTATGTACCTTTGCAGAATCCCTTTTACAATTAAGTTTTCACCCATTATCTCTAAACAGGCTTATACTTTCAATTCTTATACCTTTTCCCTATTTCTCTATATCTTGTTTCTGTCCTTTATAACTTCTTTTCCTTTCCTTCTTCTCCCTCCCCTTTTTACCCCCTTGTCTCTCTTCTTCTAATTCTCTCTTCTGTAATCCCCTCTTCTGTTGCTTTCTAATATTATACTTATCTTTCAAGCTATTCTTTTTTTGGTTGTTTTTTCAAATCTTAAACTTTTCATTCTCTTTCCCCCTTTTCCTTTTTTCCCACACATAAAATTACTTGATCATTAAAGATGGCTTCTTCTTTGTCCCAATCTTCTTGTTCTGCACACGTTTCTTGTTGTTTCTCATAGTTCCAGATCTCCATTTCTAAGAGTTGAAATACGAAGCCAAAAGAACCTCTCCCTTCTTGTGCATATTCTTTGTACTTTTTAAGTTCCATTTTCAGTTCTTCTCAAAGTGGTGCCATTTTAAACACTTTTAAACAACCACCCAATTGATTTTAGTCGTTTAAATGCAATAACCAAAAATCCAAAGATCACCAAGTAATCCAAATAATCCAAAGCTGTTTCTTCTTGCTTCTTTTTTCTACTTTCTCTTCCTGGGGTTCTATTATTTTGTTGCCAAGTTTCAGTTAAAATGTATCTTTTAGGAATCTTGTTAAGGTTTCACTGTAGATTCCTTTTAGTTCCAGGCAGTCTCCTCCATTTTTCCAGATCCTGCCCTTTTATTCTTTTTCTATCCTTTCCGTGCTTTTAAAAGCTTTTAAGTATCCAGAAATCTTTATTATTCCTTTGACATTTTATTTTCAGCTTAAATGCCTATTGATGTCAAAGTGGATTTTTTTCCAATTTCTTGCTTAAGTCTCTTAGCTGTCAGTATAGGAATAGGAGAAAAAAAACCACAAATCTTTTCCCTTTTCTCTCTCCTTCGCTGCTTCAAAGTCTTCTTTGGGAACAATGTTATTTTTTTTATAGTTTAAATTCCAGGTTACCTTACGTTGTTGCTTTTACAGTTTAACCCGGTCAACCAAAACTTTCTCTTCTTATCTTCCTCCTGCACATTCTTTTCCGGTCGAGTTCTTCTTTGAGGTGGCCATTTTTGACCACCACTGCAACCGCCTTCGGGAAAGGGAGTAATGGCCAGCTGAGGAGGAGAGATGTGGCTCTCCTGAACCCTGCTGGCAGTCTCCCCCCTCTTCACCACCTCTATGGGGTGGCTTAGCCCCAAAACCAACCCGCTCAGGGCACTCTGGCGGCGAGCATGAATCGAAACCACGCACGATCGCGGTTTCGGACTGTCGGTGAAGGAACTCAAACCAGAAGTCCTTGCGCTTCTTTTTCTGTGATCACCAGAGGTTGTGAGCCCAATGGATTGGGGCCAGTTGTAGGAGGCTTGGCTGCTGTTGGTGTGATTGAGATGTGGGTTGTGGAGATAGGTGGCTGTAGTTTCTTTTCAAACCTGCAGTAAAACACATTCAGGTCATCTGCTAGTTGTTAATTTCCTTCTGCCTGGGAAGAAGTTTTGCTGAAGCCAGTGATTTTTTTAAGAGTTTTCCACATGTTTGCTGGTTCATTTGTTGAGAATTGATTCTTTAACTTTTCAGAATAGCTTCTTTTTGCTGCTCTGATCTCTCTTGTTAATATGTTTCTGGCCTGGTTGTATAGCATTCTTTTCTGTAGGCTTCCTCTTTGGGATGACGTAGCTGCTTAAGTTTAGCTGTGAACCAAGGTTTATTATTACTTTATATTTGCAGGTTTCTTGTTGGTACACATAAGTCTTCGCAGAAGCTAACATATGATGTTACAGTATCTGTGAGCTCATCTAGGTCTGCAGAGGCATCTTCAAAAACATTCCAATCAGTGCAATCAAGGCAGGCCTGGAGTTTCAGCTTTGCCTCATCCGACCAAGTCTTCACTGATTTAATTGTTGGTTTAATGGTTTTAAGTCTTTGTCTGTAGGCAGGTACAAGGTGAATCATGCAGTGGTCAGAGTGTCCCACAGCTGCTCGTGGTAAAGACCTATAAGCATCTTTTACTGTTGTGTAGCAGTGGTCTAAAGTATTTTTGCCTCTGGTGGGACAATTTACATGCTGGAAATATTTTGGGAGCTCTTTCCTTAAATTTGCTTGATTGAAATCTCCTAAAATGATGGGAAGGGAACCTGGGTGTTTGGCTTCAGCCTCCATAATTTGATCAGCAAGAGTTCGTAATGCCTTGTTTATACAGGCTTGTGGAGGAACATACACAGCTATTAGGAGAAATGAGGAGAACTCACGTGGAGAGTAAAATGGCTTGCAGTTGATGTGTAAAGACTCTAAGTTTTCATCACAAAACTTATATATTATAGTTATATCCCGACACCAGCTGTTGTTGATATATAAACATAAACCACCACCCTTTGTTTTACCTGATGTCTCTTCAATTCTGTCTGATCTAAATGTCTGAAATCCTGGGATGTATATGGTGTTGTCCCCATGAATTTGTGAATTAAGCCAGGTTTCAGTGAAACAAAGAACAGCTGAATTATGAAAATCAGAATTCCATCTATTTAAGAGATGAATTTCATCCATCTTGTTATCCAGTGAGCGTAAATTAGTCAGAAAGTTTGAAGGGAGAGGAGTTTTTCCCCCCCTATTCCTTAGTCTGTTTAAAATTACTGCTCGTTTACCTCGTTCCCTCTTCCGGCGAAGTTGCTTCTTTGCTTTCTTTGTTGTAATCCATATGTTAGGAATAACATGGTTACCTAACGTAGTTTGGGTAAAATAATATATATAAACTATGATAGTGAAGGCACCTGGGAATTGGTTAGAATCTCCTCCACGTTTGCAAAGACAGGTGGGGGTGGGGAATCAGAAAGCTGCTCCTTAAGGAAACATTGCCTAATTCTTAGCAGATGGTCTGGTGAGTATGAAATCCATAGTGAATTGCAGATAATAATAAGGAATAAAGAAACCATTAGAGAGCATTTCACTGTGGCAGCTGTCGTTGGCGCCATCATGGCTGAACCTTTAGTTTAGCAGACTTGAGATTCCACACACCAGATTTTCCTGGTTCACAATTCACCTTGTCTCTGCAAGTTCCTCTGGCTCCTGGATCAGCGCAGGTTCTAATGCTTCCAGGCTCTGATCCTCAGCTACAGTTTTTCTTCATTGTGTAGATATGCTGCATCTGTAATTGTCAGAATCACCTTTAATGGCAGTTCAATTTTCTGTTTCATGGATCTTTTGTTTTAACAGACATGCCTCTCCCAATTAGTCTGTTCAATTGAGTATTTACTGTCCTTGAAGATGAACACATTTTAATGATTATAATAGTAACTATTTGTTTCTTCATTTAGATTTGTGATTCCGTGGGACTTGCAAAACAGATTGCATTGCATGCTGAATTGGTAAGACTTGACTTGGAATAAAATGTAGAGGTAGTTTATATATATTAAATGAGGATATAGTTCAGTATCACTTGCAATATCTCCTAACATCTGCCCAAATTGGTGAAATTTCAGTGTCCAATCTCAAATCCTGTTCAACTTTGGAATAACAAAAAAAAACACATTTCGGTTTTTAGAGTAATTATTTAATTATTGTTGATTCATCACCATCTCTAAAAAACAGTGTGATGATACTTGAATATGTTACTAATCTCTCCGTTGACAATCAGTGAAATGAAAAACAACTAAACACTCCACTGCTGAACTCTCTCACCCAATAACTATTCTCACAAATAAACTATCAACCAGCACCTTGCAAGGGACAAGCAGTTTCAATCCAGGGTGTGAAATAGATATTGACAAGCAAGTAATTTGGCTAAGCTTTCTGCAAATGAAGGCAAAAACAGAGAGTAAGTAAATCTCCCTTGACTCTTAAAACACGATAAAAAGAAAAGGTTTTTCTTACCCGTAAATATTTATCTGTCTTGACCTTAAGAATATACAGGCAGTCCTTGACTTAAAACAGTTTTATTTAGTTACTGTTCAAAATTAAAATCGCATGAAAAAAGTGACTTATGACCATTTTTCATATGACTGTTGTAGAATCCCAATGGTCACGTGATCAAAATTCAGATTCTTGGCAACTGGTTCATATTTATGCTGGTTGCAGTGGTGTTCTGATCACCATTGATAACCTGACAACCAAAATCAATGGGAAAACCAGATTCACTTAACAATCTTGTTACTAACTTAAAAGCTTCAGTGATTCACTTGACAACTGTGACAAGGAAAGGTCGTAAAATGAGGCAAAACTCACTTAACAAGTGTCTCGCTTAGCAATAGAAATTTTGGGCTCAATTGTGTAAGTCGAGGACTATCTGTATTGTACACACAATTTACATTCTTCTTAATCCTTGAAATAATGTTGCTTTATTGTCCAAATCAGGAAGTAAAATCTCTTTGGAAGTATTGCTTCTTTTTTTGAATGTGGCTCAGCAAGTCTATATGTGCCAAATGTGAGGGGTTTTTTGTTTTCCAGTTTGTTATGTTTGTTGACTTTATACATAGTTTGCAAAGCATGTAATATGTATATAAATAAAGTGCAAAGTTAAAACAGAAGGATAGGTAGCTGTAATTCTGATTCTTGAAGTGATCATTGCGCATCCCTGTGAGGGAGTTCCAGGCACATGTGAACCATCCTTCAACATTTTTTAGCTGGATTTGAGAAGAAGAATGTTTTTTTTTTCCTATCCTAGTATACCTTTTAAGAAAGTGCCTCTGGCACCTTCATCTGATTCAAACAAGTGAATATAATTGAGAAGCAGAATCATATAGTGACGGAGTGTTTTGTGAATAAACAAATTACTATTTGGAGAAACAATTAAGTAAGCATCCTGGTCTTTAAATCTTTAAATTACTGTTTAGTTTATTTTTCTATTGTATAACTGATGTGATATACTGATATGATGTGAAAGCCAAGAGTTTTAATACTTTTCTTTGAAAAGCAGTAAGAGTATTTGGAAACCTATATTTGGGCAATTTTTCAGGCAAACAAAGTAGCAATCAATTCCGTGAAAATAATGTTACCTTTTGGTATTCGGCATGTTCTTTTTAAAAAAACTCAGGATCGAAGATCATCAGAAAAACAGAAAGAAATAGAAAGAGAAAAGGAAAAACAGAAAAAAGAGCTCAATAAACAGAAACAAATTGAAAAGGTATGCATTTGATCAAGGTTTAACTGGATTTTTGAACTTTCAAAATAGCCATTTTATTGAAATTGAATAAACATGAGAAATTACTGTTCCTCACAATACTGATATTGATTGGTTTTAGATTAAAGCAGACATGTTTACATGGCAACATTGGAGGTAGTAAAAAATGACTAGTTGCTAGAACCTGACAAGCAATGGCCTACTTTGGATGGCCAGGAGACTTGTGACTCAACTGTGGTTGGAAATAGGGTACTGCACCAAAAGTATCACTCAGCATAAATCATATTCTTCACATTGCTGAATGATTGAAGTTCTGTATAGCCCCATATAAAGCTTTATGTTCAGGTGGATGAATCTTGGTAATTCATTTTTAATGCAAGTAGTCATTGCTTACCATATCTTGTTCAAAGTTAGTGTCAATGCTGTCCCTCAGTCTACACAATCAACATTACAGTCAGTGTGCATTGTCCTGTACCTGACATGTTTTTCTTTTTTCCCCCTCTGCTTGCAGAGTGGGACAGGTTGGAGAAAAAAATATTACAAGAGAGTAAGCAGGATTACAATGGGGAATACACTGGTTAGTTTGCATAATACTCTCATAGCTGCCAGCACCAGCACATTGCTTTCAATGTGTATTTTCAATTTGTGTCTATTTATTCTCTTGTAATCCTTTCCTGGTCAATTGTGGTTGCTAAATAAGGACTACTTTTAGTGTGTGACTTACTGGCCACAGTAAATAGTTGCTAATAATGATCTCTTTATTATTTACTATTTAAAGTAATATTCACATAGCTTATACATAAATCAGTAAATGTATTTTTTTCCCCCAGGATTTAGAAGAGCAAAGTCGATTAATTGCTGCTTCTAGTCGATCCAATCAGAGTATTGGTGAAGGACAGTTTGTAGTTCTTAGCAATAGCCCATCAGAAGATAGTGATTTGGGTGAAGATGGAAAGAAGAAGCAAGAATCTGATGCATGAAGCACCTTCAGTGCAAGCCTTTAAACCTCTTGTCTGAAATGATAAATTGAAATGTAAATTTACAAAACAAATCATGTAAATTTGTTTTACATGATCCAACTCCGTATTCTCACTCATTAAGGTTGATCTTTCTTAAATGGCTCAGTGTAATTACGGATTTTTGTTCTCATACCATAAAGAAATGTAGTGAAATGTTCATGGCTGTAGCAGATTTGGATATTACAGAACGTCTTCTGTTTCAATTACCTAGCTGTTCTGGTGACTTAGAAAGTAATTTGTGTAACTTAAGAAGTAGATAGAAAATTTTTATCTTCAGTTTCTTTTCTTCATTTTCAGAGAGATTGTTTTTAGTCTCCTGCAGTAAAATAAGAGTCTTCTTCTGTTTTTAAATACTAACATTTGATCTCATAACAATTGGGTCATATTAGTCTTCAAAGTGTTCTAAGCCTCTGAACAAAAAGCCAATTTTGATTCCTAAAAATGGCAGGGTCAATAATGGAAGCAGCCTGATAACTTTTAATTAATACTTTTGCATGTGCTGAGTGTATGAGTTCAAGGGAATTAGTGTCACTGCACTTTGTTTTAAGATGAAATATGAGAATATCATTTTTACTTGAAATTGTACTGGCTGGTAGTGATCTTGGCTTCTCCTCTGTATACATAGAGCACTTTCGTGGAGGGTGGCAAAGACATTCAACCAAACACTGGAAAGTACCTCGGAGTGTCAATGCACTGCGTATATTTGTAACATTATACAAATTGATTTTTAAATGTCTAGATGAGAATAAAGTGCATACACTTCCAACAGAATTGCCATGATTATTGGAATCAAGTTTTGTAAGTAAGTGTCTTCTCATTAGCAAAAGTTTGAGATTATGTTGGTGATAGAATCAGTTGCATGGAAAAACTATCAGATAATTTTTCTAACACCTGTTGTCATATTTACCTAAATCCACATGTAACAGAAATACATACAAATTGCACATATTTGCTAAAGCTGAGAAAAATCAGGCAGGTACTTGTGATTCCATATGAGCTTATTGATTCGTGAGGAATGTAGTATTACAAAGAATGCAGTGATTTTTCATTCCCTTATGAATATATCATAGATACTGTAAGTTTGTCCTCTTTTATATTGAAATCTGGAAACAGAAATTGTATGGAAATTGGAAGTAGATCACAGACTTTGGAGAAAAAAAAAACCGTTGAAGACCAATTAACCTGGACTGGAAAGTCTTTTGAGATCAAGTAGGGATGTATGTTCTTTGTTCCTAATTGCAAGGGAATAAAAGATACTTGGAGACCCAAGAAATAAAAGTGGAGCTGTGATTGCTCAGTGAGAAGTTTCCTGCCAGTTTTTGAAAGCTTTTCTTATGTTTCAACTTGAGTATAAAATTGCAGATATGGAAATCATACATTCTGTTCTATTTTAGGCCACCTCACTCAAATTTGGCAATATCTGTTGCAATTGTTTATCCACAATTTACAGCAATGTTAAGCCACATATTACCATGAAATCATGAATTTAAGTAAATCACCAATTCATTTGAAACCAGTAGTGTGTATATTCTCTGTAAACATGTATTATAATGTGAATAATACCAAATGATCTTTATTATAAAACAGTTCACAGGCTACTCTTCTGGAGTTCAAATCCAACTCATATGGATTGTATTGAGTAGCTCTAGTTCCCATATTAGATTTTCTAGCGGGAATATTCTCTGAGTAGGCAAAAAAGTATGATTTGGCTGTCTTGATTGGTTTATTGTTTGGAGCCAGCAGATAGACCTTGGAGTCAGCTGTTCTGTTCTTGTTCTTCTGAAGGTAAACTCCATTGAACTGAGTCAGATTTGCTTTTGCATACACAAATGTTATGCAGTCAAGGCACAAATGAACTTGGCAATTGTGTTCTGTTGCTGGACAAGTATACTTTCTAAGTTGCCTTCCGTACTGAATCATATTTCTAAGGACAACATTAAAGTTAAAATTGCTATATTTCTTTGAATAAGATACTCATCTCTGATGAACTATAGAAACATATTTTTGCATGTATTGTAAATCAGAGGCATTCAGCTAATTTATAGGGTTGATTTTAAAAAAATCAGGATTGCTATTTGTGATATCTCAACAAAATTATTATCCTGTTTATTTTTCTTTTTTTTCCCCACCTGTAACTGAAATCACTTTCTTTCTGCAAATACATGGGCTAACTAAGCACATTTCTGCTTGAACAAAACTTTTGCCTCCCTTGTAGCACAATGTCCTTCACACTCCTGGGGAAATTGAATTGCACACAGGGACATGTTTTTCTAATTCATGCATGGATATTGTCAGGCAGTCAGAAATCATGACATGGTGTAACAGGACTAATCATCCATCATGTAATTGAGAAAATAATGTTCCATAATGAAATCTGTAAATGAGCGAAGAGGTTTGTACAAAAAATTTTGGGTGGCTTTTATAATACAGTGAGTGAATCAGAAAACAATGATTTAGTCTTGTTTTGGTGATTGTGATTTTTAAATTGAAAGTCTAATTAAAACTCTTAATTTCTCTTAATATTTGTATTAATATTTAGTGATTGTCTGCTCAATATTGTCAATTGCAAAGTAAAATCTTGACACTAATAAAACAATTTGGGAAAGATTTCAGTGAAATCCAGTCAATTTTAGAGGATGCTTTTCTACAATATTTATGTAAATATTTAATCAGCATTTGTTCTTCAAAGCACATCATATATTGGAAATATATTTCAAAATACCTTTGTGAAATGCATTTTAAATCTGTCAGTAATGGAAGAATATCCATATAATAGAGATTCATTTATTGTATTTAATAAAGCAAAACTAACAGCTGGTGGTCCTATTTTTATTTGATTAGAATATAGAAGAAGACTTATCTTCTATGAAAATTAAATCTGTAAATATTGTATTTTTAACAAGTGGTTGCAGTTTCTTAGACAAGATGAAGCAATACTTGTGACATAATACTATTTGATAAATATTTCAAATACTTTGTCAAATAACTAAAAATATACAATTGGTGTAGGCAATACACAAGACAAGGATATACAATTTTAATTACACCTGTAATGTAAAGGTACATGGCGACAGTTATTTTGGAAATACTTCATTTACAATACTGCTTTTCAAAGAAAACCTTTTGGGGTTGTAAAACAGATTGTTTTTGAAGTTGCAAAGTTTTGAAGTTACTTTGTTTTTGAATACTTGCAATAAAAAAGGCATAGGATTTTAAATTGCATCTTAAGGATATAGGCGGCAAAACCCTAAGCTATTAAGGTATCTGAATAACACATATACAAAATCTAAGACTAAACTTCACCTGGAAAGCCAAATTTTAAAGTTAAATATAATTTTTAAGATATATACAAGAAGTATTGCTTAAAAATACAAGTACCAACCAAAAGATCTTCCATGAGTTTATACATGACCTATTTTTGTGTGTGCCAATTAACACCTCTTACATATGCAAATTGTTTTCCTTCTAAAGGGAATATTCAGTATTCATAAAGAAAGAGTCAAGATTAGGCAGTATAGTCATGCCCTGCTTGTACTTCTTGAAAATGTTATGTGTTAAAACAGCATGCAATTATTTCGGTACAATGTGGGCACCTATGAGTAAAGGACACACAGTCATATTTAACTCTTGCTAGTCTTTAAGAAACTGCTTTCAATATTTACAGCTAACATGGAAAAATTGCAGTGGATTTTGTGAGCCTATGGAGCGTTGCAAGGAGAACCCCCTCCACTGATAGAATATTATAGGGAACTCCTTTTTCCCAGACCAATCTTCCTTCCATTGAATCAAAATATCACAGGGTTTTGGGACATCAGCTCCCAGAGTACATCATTTGAGTGTTGTTACATAATTTACATTTGTGCAGTGTTAGATATTTCAAATTAACATGGTTAGTTCATATATCTATGCAAATGAAAATGCCATAAATCAGATCTGCAAAACTGCATTGAGGTTTGATAGTGTTTCGTTTCATTAACTCTTCATCAAAGTACTTTTTTGCACTCTAGTATAAAGCAACCAGATATATTGGTACCAACTAGAATTCTATATTAAACATGCTTTTAATATCTTTGTACATTTATATATAGGCTATCTTCCAACTGCACTTTTATGCATTTCACTTAGTAGATTCCTTTTAGATGTCCTTGTCCATAGAGGTCATACTCCTTATAGAGGATATATTCTTTCAAACGGTTTGGTATTGGCAGAAATGTCAAGAACACTGGACAGCGCAGTCGTAAACGTCCTAAGCATTTTCGGATTCTCAGACGGCAAAGATGTTGCAAAGAACGTGTGTTTGCTGAAAATAAAATAATAGGTGTATGTAATATGAATTATCCATTCCTACAACTGATTATAGCTCATAAGAAAGAGCTGGATGAAGAGATAAACATGATGGGAACCATGGAAAGGGAATGACCACATTATCTTCCTGTTCAGATTATTAACCTGGTCTCTATTGGGTAGGGAGGGTTCCCTCAGAATATCTGTTGGCTCACTGTGAGGATTATTGAGATAAATCTGGATCAAGTTGCTCAGATTTGCGCTGACCTGGACTCTGACCCCCCCAACTCTACTGTTGTTTAGCAGAGCCGTGGTGTAGGCCAGGGGTCTCCAACTTTAGCAACTTTCAGACTTGGGGACTTCAACTTTCAGAATTCTTCAGGCAGCTTTGCTGGCTGAGGAATTCTGGGAGTTGAAGTCCCCAAGTCTTAAAGTTGCCAAGTTTGGAGACTCCTGATGTAGGCCTTTAGCAAGGGAGAATGAGACTCCTTCATTGCACTTCTAATCTTTGATGTTTATCTTTTATTGATTTTATTATAACTTTGATTGATCATTGTGAGCCCAGTGGAGTTGAGTTTTGACACTGATACAGTGTTAAAAATTTAGGGAGGGCTTTGGAATAAAGCATGAGTTAACTTCTGCCACAAGTACTTATATCTAGAAATTGGATACAAGTCTGGTATGTTATAATCTATTCGCTAGAACCTGTTGTTAACATTCTAAGCAGTTCGGAGAACCGGTTGTTGGAAGAAATTACTGGCCTAATCCTGTAAGGAAGGCAGGAAGGAAACACTCTGGTGTTGCTTACAGAAACTGCCTCTCCGTTAAACCTTATTACATTCTTGGCAGAACTAGACTTCCTGACTCAGGAACATCTCTGGAATTTTTCCCCTCCTTTGTTGGTACATTGCTTGTGTGGAGTGACCATTCAAAGTTAAAATGGCACTGAAAAAAGTGACATGACCATTTTTCACACTTATGACTGTTGCAGCATCCCGACAGTCATGAGAGGCCAGGTGAGGAGACCCGTGCCTCGATATGAGTGATATTGAGTTGGCCACGCCTAGCCAATAACATGACCACCAAGCCACATCCACCCAGTCACATGACCACCAAGGCACGCCCACCAACTAAGCCACACCCACAGAACCAGTTGTTAAAAAATTTGAATCCCACCCCTGGTTATAATACATTTAGTATGAGATCTTTTCTTCATCATAGGATGGTATTTGTGCTCAGTGTGTTCTTTATTCAATGTGGCAAGTTTTAAACTTTTAACTGTGCTAATTGCAATGATAAAATTATATGAGGAAATAGATCTAGAAGATATTTTAGAAGATACTACTTTCTTCTATGCCTTAGCACTTATAATGCTGAGGCATAGAAAAAAGTACTGCTTACTAATCACTAATAAGTAGTAAAGATATTGCTCTGTGTAAAGATTTTTATGTATAAGTAGATTACTGTGATCTCTGCTTCAATAAAGTATTTTGAAAAATCCAGTCATATTTAGTAATGGGGAGATACTGACTGTCAAAATACAATGTATAAAGTATTTCTTAAATAATTAAAATTATTTTAAATTATATTTACCAAAATTAAACCTTTTCATTGGTTTATTCTAATCATATATAGGAGTAAAAATAGTTTTCCAAATGATACAGCTACTAATTTGAAAATTATGCAAAGTAGATACACTCAATTATACTGGCAGGGAGTGCAATGCTGGAACACCGTGTCAGGAACAGATTGTCATGGGGAAAAAAAATGTGATCGACTTGATGGCACATAAAGAATGGATCAATCAATTTGAAAATTAGAGTGCATTGTGTCAATTATCTTTACATTCTATAATGTCTGCCGATAACTATATTTGACACTTACACAAAATTGCTTTGATTTCTGGCCACAGTTTTTGTTCTTGAAGAGTATCTTGAAGTTTAGAGCATATTCTAATATGATCTACATAATCTAGCATCACTCGCACTACCTTCCCAGACAGATGCCTTAACCATGACAGTGTAATCACTTCACAGAACTGAGGGGGGAAAAAACAAGAACATGAGAACACAGCATTTAATGCCTTATATTATGAAGTGCCTGATGCACCCCAGACTAAATCAGCAGCAAAATGAAGCAAAATAGCCATACATGTAATACAATTTCACAAAAATACCAAGCAGACATAACTAAATACTTGCCATTTATTCTATAGAATGCATTATGATCCTTTTCAGTTTTGAAAACCAAACAAATCCCATCATCCCTTAAACACTGAGCAATTTATAAGTACTAATCAGCATATAAAGGAAGGATTAATCTCCCCCCCCCCCAAGAAGTACTTACCATTGTGTCTTTGATAACAGTTGAGGTCCACCCTTCAAATAGGTACTTGGAATGCTTGCTGTTTCCATGAGGACAATCAAAACAGCGGGAAACATTGTATCCATTAGTCAGCAACATCCTTAAGAGGACTTCATCTTTCAGTGTGTACTGTAGAGCCGATGGAAAATGGGTTGTATTGATTCTACAAAAGTAATTCACGTTGGCTCCATGGCGAAGCAGGAGACTGATGAGTTCATAGTTACTCATTCTCAAGGCCACTTGGAGGCAATTAACAGGGTCTTGATTTGGTAGGGCTCCGGCATCCAGGAGCAAACGAGCAGACTCAATATCCCCATTAGAGACCGCAAAATACAGTGCTGACCTTCTCTCATCATCATAGTTTTTCTGAACTCTTCGATGCAACATAAAATTAGCATCAAACCCAGATTTGAGTAGAAATTCAAGACACTGAGAATGTCCTCCTGCTGCTGCCGAGTGAAGTGGGCTGATTCCACTCTCCTTTATGGCATTGAAATCTGTGACTGGAATCAAAATCTGTAAAGCCCTAGCAATAAGATAAATATAAACGTTATTTTTTAAAAAAAATTACTCTTCATTTATACCTCAGTGCTTCCTTCCAGAAAAGACAATGAGATCACCATAAAGAGGCTAGAATTGTAAGCTTCTGTAAGAGAAGAGTTTCCATCAACTCAACTTTTTAGCCATTTAGTAAAATGCATATAAAAAGACAAGAATTTCAGTGGGGAAAAAATCTTTTAAAAACTCAGCAAATAATAAAATGGGAGAAGAAAGGGAGAAAGACAAATGCAAGCTGGTTATTTAAAGTAATTTTATAAAGAAGAATAAATTCCTTAAGGTGCTACAGTAAGAGCAGTCCAAAAGAAACAAAATGTTCTGGTCAATTCAGGTCTTTATTCTTCTATATTCACAAGCTTAGCTGTGGAAGACTGTTCTAATACCAACAGAATATTCATATCCACATAAAACAAAGAATGTGTAACGATATCAAATAGATACAACCCTTCCCCCATCAATTGGCCTAACTTCTACAAATGTTTTTGTGTCACAGGACGAGGACAGTCCTAGGACAGCAAAAGAGAATGGACTTCCTTTCACAGATGTGTAGGAAGGACAACGTCAGCAGCTGAGCAAGCTACAAGCTTTTTCTACATAATTTTTGAAGATGAAGACTTTTCTACCTTGTAACTCAGGATTTGACAAACAGTAAAGAAATGTTTGTCTCTCATCAGAGATATGGTAAACCACAAAGTAGAATAGATTACTTTCCCTCCCTCTCTCCCCGCTCCACCCCAGTTCCATAAATGGAACCAGTATAATGTAACTCACAAGAAATGACCTCTATAAGCAGCTCTATGGATAGGAAGATGACCAGATTGCTTTGGTACGTTGGCATCAGCTCCATATTCTAGTAGGAGAGAGATGGAATCTGGGTTTCCTCCTCCAGCAGCCTCAAATAATATAGATGCAGAATCTGATGCTTGAGAAAGGATGTTGGCACCTATTGTGAAAATAACAATAAACTTTTTTTAATAATAAATCAAAAATTATATGGTGTTTATGTGTTTAGTTTATATCAACATAAAATCACTACATTATTAATATCAAGGAAATAGAATTGTTCTGTAGATCAGTACATTTAACACTGAAGGGTTTATACAGAACATCTCACCTTTACGCAGTAGGAGTTCCAGAATTTCTGTATGCCCATTCTGTGCTGCCAACGCTAGAGGGGTGAGCCCATATGAACTTCGTGGATCTGGATCTGCTTTGGACCAAAGCAGTAATTCCACCATATCTTTCAAGCCTAATCTGGCTGCCTCGTGTAAAGCTGTCCTTTTGTTGATACACTGTAGATTGGTATTGGCTCCAAATTGTATCAACAAGGAAGCAATTTCATATGATTCGTGTGTAATTGCTGTAAAATATTAAAATATGAAAGAGCATCATTTGAACATTTCATTTAACTATCAGCTATTAAACTATTCAATCTCCCCTGAGCACATCAGACAACCTTTGTTTAGCAGTCTCACATGTCGCTTGTATATGATTAAAAGAATCGCACAGCAAAATGAAGTGCTAAACTTTAAAATAAATCTGTTTTTCAGTTTTTAAAAAATAAGATATAAACATTTTACAATGCTGTTCTTCATTCACATTTAGAAAAATTGTCTTTTTTGGATTATGAATCACTGGGCAGAAAATATCTTCTCATGTAGGCAACTATAATATCCTTAAATTTGGCATGAAAAATCACATTCAATCAATGCAAGCTATCATTATTTTATAATTGGGAATGTTTAATTATTGTTGACAAACAATATAATTTGGTTTACCAATAATTAAAGCAGAATCTTCTTCTTCATTCTTAATATCAGGATCAAACCCATTAATTAGCAGAACATTGACATTTTTCACAAGACATTTGTCCACAGCTAGAAAGAGGGGAGTTTCTCCTTTCAGGTTGGTCTGTTGCCAGACACTAGGATGTGAGGCTGAAAAAGAGAGTTTTGTTTGAATTGATAAGTTAATATAAGAAATTGGCAAGAATCACACATAGTCCTCAAAGGGGCACTACCTTTCAAAGTAATTTCTAGAATGTTCTTGTTTGGTTGTACTGCTGCTTCATGAAGAGGAAGCCAACCTTGGGAGTCTACTTCCTGAAAAGCAGATCCATTCCTCGTCAACTTAAGTAAAGACTCTTCTTCACCTGTTATGAGTATGAAAGATCTACAATTTATGCTCTTTGAACTCAAAGACCACATTGTTTTAGTAATAAGTAATAAACTCTTGTTTAAATAATAAAAGGCTGCCTCGCACCTGCAGATGCTACTTTTAATTCCTCCGCACATGAGGGTTAAGAACAAGTAACTGAGATCATTTGCATATTTTTATAAATTCCCAATAAAATTGAACCTATTACTTAACTGTCCGAATGGCAGTGATGATCTTTCTGTAATCTGGACTTCTTGTGAAACAAATGCTGCAAACAGAATGCAATAGCATTAAAAAAAAAAAGTCAAATAAGCCAGAAATATTCTCATATCATGCTGAATTTCAAACTGCAAAACATGGTGAAAAAAGAGAATATATTTCATTTGTATATTTAATGTATTGATGTTTCATGCAGGAAAAACCAGGCCCTATACACCTAGAGAGTAAGCTTCCAGGGTATTCTGGAATTGAGAATAGTTTACCAAACTCTTTGACTTGAGTTTACATGTCTTGATGGTTACCTGCACTTTTAACTGCTACCAGAATAGAAATGTCACTCACAAAATGCTTTTGATTTTTTTATGTATCATGGTAGTTGTATCTGACTAACATGCCAATACCCATTGATTTGGAAGTTCAGTGAGACCTATTCATGTGACTTGCTCTTTTTTCTCTGGGCTATAGAGAATTTGACTCAAGATATGTCCAACCTGGATGCTATGGTCAAGCAGAGGTGGTTATTCAGCAGGTTCTAACCAGTTCTGGAGAACTGGTAGCGGAAATTTTGAGTAGTTTGGAGAACCGGAAAATCCCACCTCTGACTGGAGATTTTGCAGTATCCTTCCCCTGCCACGTTCACCAAGCCACGCCCACAGAATTGGTTGTAAAAAAATTGAATCCCACCACTGTGT